TTAGAAAACTGCCCCCAGACGCGGGAAATTTGAAAAAGCGCGTTCCTAACAACGCAAATTGCACAGTAAGGAGTGTATTTCAGACTTTTTTAATGTGACCATCGTAATTTTCGTGCCATTTAACCACTAAAAAGTCTATTCGCGCGGCTGTATCTCTTGCATGCAACAGGCCCATTGAGCCGGCAATACAAAAATCCATTTATGTCGGTACTTCATCGCGGATATTGCAACCATTTTTTCCTACAGTAAGAATAATGTAAAATATCATGGATCCAAACCAAATCGATTGCTTGATAAACATTGGAAGATTGGAAGATTTTTGTTGAATTAAAGAAAATGCAGGAGACATTTCTGATTTTTTAATTAAACACATTTACATTTTCAGCCGGTCTAGTTCCACCATCAGCGCCAAAAGTAAAACGCATTTCGCCATCAAGTGTTGAGGTCTCTTGGTCGATAAAATTGAACAAAGGAAGTCCAGTGGATCACTATTTGGTCCATCATTTAACTTCATTATCTCTTGGAGTTGGAGGGGGAAGCTTTTGGAAGTGCAGCAAAAAAATACCACCATCTACCAAATGGTGCGTGATAGACAAACTGATGCCTAAATATTGGTACAGGTGAGTGACTGAAGGATTGTGATAATCTTCATCTGTTGCGACGTCACGATGACAGATATTACTCGATACGAGACTGATCCGTGTGGATGAAAGATGGAGGATACTTTCAGTGGTTAAATTCGGAGACAAAGTGGTTTAATCTAGCCTAAGTCAAAAGCTCAGAGTGTTGCTCGTGATACTAATTTACCGAGGGCAGCAAAAATCATCTTCATTGACTGATGAATGTCATGTTAATAAGCAATTTGCTAAGTGTTTGTCAAACTGCTCCTCATTTGAAAAGCAAACGACTTGGTGCATCGATAATTAATCATCATTGCTCGGCGAAAAGGGTGATTCCAATTTTTTAATTTTTCACCATAAGTGTAAGTTTTAGTGGATGATTGGTTACATATTTAGCCTCTGTTTCGAATCGATTCACTAGTTTCACTAGTTGGGTTTTCCAATAGTTTCTAATTTTCTATTTACAATTTTCTGCAACGATATCTTCTATACTTCAAGTTACGTCTATACATATCTAACAATTTTGTGGTAATAAATGCCTGAAACTTTACGAAAAAATATTTTTCGCAAAAAAAGAAGAAGGAAAAAAAGGAGCTCCCCTGTGAGAATTTAATTTTTGCGACATTTGGCACGAAAGACTAGATAAAAAATTTTCGGCAAGAATTATTGACGTAAAATATAGTTTTAAATCATTGTTTGCTTGTGAGTTGCAAATTGGCGAAATTTTTCTACGGACCTTTGCATTTTTCAATTGCCTATCTTCGGGTCATTTATTTTTCTCTTTTCAAATTTTTTACTTTGTTGCAGGTTCAGAGTTGCAGCAGTTTTCTTCAATAAACAGGAAATTAAAGTATTTGGAAACCGATCTGAGTGGTTGAAGCTATAATTTAATAACATGATCCCCCCCCCGCTTTGTACCACGAAATCACTCTGCTTTGTTGAGAGAAAAAATAAATAAAATTACCTGGATTTTTTGTCTAACTGTTTAATCCCTATTTAAAGTGATTTTTTCACTCATCTACGACGTATTATTTGCTGCTGCTCAAACTGTTCTCAAACGTGCCAGAACGGTTCGTTCAAATAATCTAGTTAGTCTTTTCACGCTAGGAAGGTGTTTACGACAGAGTTTAAGGGCGGCTCGGTTCATTATCGTTTATTTTATGCTCGTATGGCAAAATGTAAGCGAGTTTCATCTTTATTAATGTCCTCGGGTACCCTGTACGGTACGCTCTGCGGCAATGGAACCACTTTACTCTCGACACCTAATAATGTCGGGTCGCATCACGCGTGTATCGCGGTGTGCACAAAGAATGTTAGTGCGCCTTCCTTTTAATGTGTATGCAACAATGACAACTTTTGAGCAGGATTAGTTTCATCCAGGCGTTGACATGAACGGCGCGCTGCATGGCTGTTCAAAGGTTTATCCACTTCCATCTTTCATAAATGAGACATAAAAATAGTTCTCATCTTATTTTTTGGATTCTACATTTGATAACTTCTTTACGTCATCATAATCGAGATGTATATCGGAGGATAGGCTACTTTGTTTTTGTATTCGTTTACATTTTTCGGGTGTGATGGCTCTACAGGGATTCTTCACTGAAACGATTATAATTTACTCAAATCAGTTGAAAAAAGAAACTTTACTTGTTTTGATGTGAAACATACCAATGGAAAAGTCATCCCAAACAATAGATCTCTCAGGGTCGCTGGGATGATCTTTTCACTGCACAGGTAACGAGCACAAAATAATGATCAAGATGCATGTTTATTAAACACAGTGAATACTCGTAACACTCAATGCCGGGTGGGTTCTCTCGTGTAAGTTCTTCAAATACATGTGATACAATACAATGATTGGCTATTGGTGGCACGTGTTTGTGACCTGTGTTTCATTCTCTGAGAAACATGCTCTACTGTAGATTTTTTAGCAAAGTAGGATCAGTTTTTACCATAGCAACATTAATTTACGTAGGTATCTTCCAGAATCACTGATTTTGTACTACATGTGTTGAACTTGCAACTTTGTTACTTGTATTTTTTACATAATTAGCCAGCATGCCCCACCTTTCATTATTCAACTCACGACTAAATTACAAAATTAAGAGTGAGAGAATATTCATTATGATTTTCATTTATTTCAACGCACTTTTTATTGGGATGTTGCTCGCTGTTAGGCAAATTTTATAAATGATGGAAGTTCGTCAAATAACATATAATGAATGCATCGTACCGGACGTTTGCATGAACTCTAATTGGACTGGATTTTGTAATTTAGACCTATAAATTCTGGCTCTTCTGGAAAAACACTTATGTGCATAGAGAAACTAATGGCACACGCGTCGTTTTTAAACCGGGCTAGAATTTATAGTTCCAAATTGCAAAATGTGGTCCAATTTGAGTTCCTTACTAATTTAAAGGGGGGGGGGTGCCTTTCAACACTTACTCTTAATGATTAGATCAAAATTTACAAAATATTCGGTCAGGAGAAGAGTATATTGCCTGATTTTGTCTGCCTACCAATCGAATTGTATTTGACAAACTGTTGATCACTGAGTCGTGAATAATATTAGGCATAGACTCAGGCCCTAACCATACATTTTAAGGCATAATATATCAGAACACAGTCAAACTTTAGCGTACCAGGTTTATTTTGCAGTTTCCCATGCTGTGATAGCTTTCGAACTTGAATTTTCCCTACACAAGCTATTACGGTTCGTACTTTTTCGTCGAATACGACCCTTTCCTTCCTAGAATAGCAGAATTTGGCCAAAATTTGTGCATGTGTCTTATTGGATGACCTACCGGACTTATTACCCTCGGTGTGGCGAGGGGGGGGGGGCTGACCAACTTTAGATCCTTTTGTGGTACAATTTTTAACAAAAATCACGACAGTTGACAGATGGAAATGGCAAATGTGACGATGAAGACATCGATGAACACCGCTCTTTGAATTTGTTGCTGACGGTGAAGAAGAAAAACAATGTTTTCCTAAGAAAACTACAATGCAGACCTACAGCGAAAAATAGCCGTCGGCAAGGCCGTTCCCGTGAGTGAAAGCACGATTTTATACGTACGGTTAAAAACCAATTGATTCTAAGAACGTGAACAAGGTGTTCATATTCACCTCTATGCATATACACGGAGAAAAAAACTTCGTGCGTGGGACCCGAAGGTGAGGTCATATAGATCTCTGGAGTTTTTGTATCACGTATCTAAAAACTTGAGGTCGAGCTGCCGAAGTTCGGGTCAGACATCTGAAGTACTTCGATATATACCGAAGGGTTCGGGTCACACATCTGAAGTACTCCGGTACATACCGAAGTGCCTCGATGTCTGACCCGAGCTTCGGCAGCTTGACCTCAAGTTTTTGGATGCGTGATCAGAAAACTTCAGAGATCCATGTGACCTCAACTTCGGGTCCCATGCACGAAGTTTTTTCCTCCGTGTGCGTGGGAAGATAGAATAAAAACAAATAAAGTACCATTTTATGAACGCAATTGGTGCCAACTAAAAATGTAAGTTTGACTGCATGTGCTTTGCAAATTTGATCTTAGTAACCGTTTATCTTTTGTTGATTGCGCTGAGCAAAACGGTCTCAGTAATCGGCGTTTCGAACGGTGCGTTTTCATCATAGGTTGCTGTGCGACAAAAGCGCTGTCTATGGGCCCTCCTTAGAAATAATTAAAGGGTACTTGATACACAAGGTAGTACTATTGAGTCTCAAAAGCGCCCACAGTCAAAGCGCTCAAAGCACAGTGTATCGAGTCAATAGGATTCGAGAGGTCGGGCAAAATTTGAAAACTTTGTCACTTTTTGTCAGAACTTTTTGTCAAAAATTTCATGTTCGACCTCTCTAATTTACTGGATCCTCTGTGTGTCGCAGAATCGGCGAAACCAGTGTTTCGGAGTTAGCCGTTTTTTTAGCGTTTTCTCTGGCCCAGCGGGAACAATTTTGCAAAAACATGTTGACATGCCTCTTAATTAATCCAAGTTTTGTAAAAGTCGTGAGATTCTTCCATGTCAAAACTTTCTCCGATTTACATGATATTTCCTCTACAATTCTGAGGTTTTTTTTGTGGGGGGGGGGAAGGGGTGGGTCCAGGAGGCTTAGATTTCACGTCCTTCCCCCGGACTTGATAACTGAGCCTCCTTTTTCAGGTTCAATCAAAATGAATTTAATGACTGGAAGATTTGTTTTTGTTGCAGAGCTAAGGCATTTACTGAAGGATGATCCCGTCCGAACAATGTACGACTATGATGAGGAGGAAGAGGAAGAGGAAGAGAGCCACACGGAGATGGGACTATGGGGATTTGGGAATGAGAAGAAAGAGAAGGACGAAATTCCACCTACACTAGATCCAAGTAAGACAAAGATGCCATGATGAATAATAAGGGAGAAAAAATAATCTTTTCTCCTCTCCTAGTAATTTGAAAAATTAATGTGTGTTATTTATAATCACTCCACACGGTTTTCGAGGATTGGATTTTGGTATACTTACATCTATTCGAATGAAAAATCTTACAGGATAACGTCATGACAATTGGCGATCATAGAAAACTTGGAGTAAGGCTCCATTCTTAGGAGTAAGACTTACGGAGTCGTTCACTGACATGCAGGGTCGGACTGGCTCACATACCAAGGCGTAGACCTTTGGCTGGTTTTAAGGGGCGTAAAGTGATATTTCGTGGTAAGGTATCCCCTTCGTGGAGAGAGGTTCAGAAAATTTTGGCAAACCAGCACAAGAGTACGCTATTTTCAGGTTCAAAGTTTATTAATCGTACAGAGTAAAAATTGCAAAATTGAAACTATTGAAGTAACCGACAGACTTCTGAAATTAAGAAAACATAAAAAAATTAAAGCCGCTAGACGCATCCGAGCACCATTGTTTCCAAAAGAACCGAGCCAGGGCTTCGGTTTACACGAGCTTAAGACATGGGTCTGCAAGTCCATTCTAAAAGAGAATCAGACGAGAACCTGAAAAGAGAAGAAAAAACGAGTATCAACACAGCCGCGGACAGGAAAGAAGTATTCGGGCCTCTTTTTTTAAAACTTTTTTTCGAATTTGAGCGACACCTCATTGGCAGCATATAGTAGAGCAGTGAGAGCTCACGCTTCGCGTCATCGCGCCTTCAATTTTTCGGATACAGCACGGACGTCTATCAAGTACGAATAGTTGTATCTCTGCGCCGTCGTAAACGTGCATCCTTTCCCTCCCTTTATTTCCATATTGTGTTTGTTTCCGTTTGTCTTATTCGTTATGGTGCTTCATGTACTACGTGAGTAACACAGCCGAAGGTAGGAGAGATGTGTTCGGGCCTCGTTTTTTACTTTTCTCTCGAATCTCAGTGACACCTCATTGACAGCATATAGCAGAGCATTGAGAGCTCACGCTGCGCGTCATCGCGCCTTCAATTTTTCAGATGCAGTACGGATGTCCATCAAGTACGAATAGTTGTATCTCTGCGCCGTAGTTGACGCTAACGTCGTGCTGGAAAAGCCAAACCCCTTGCTCTCATGTCGGCCGCGGCATATTCCATGTCACCTGATCAACGCTCCCTGAAAACTTACGTTAAGCCTAACTTGACCCACGCCATCTGAAAGTTTGAAATTGGCAATTTATTTGATCAACATTTTCACGAAAATGTATTTTAAAAAATTGACGCTTTGCGTTAGTTTTGCTTGCCGAAACGCAGTGCCAAACTTTCTCTCACGATCACGTGTTGTTTGTCCCAATTATTTTTGCAAATTTTCTCCATTTTCTACCCTAAATTCGAGCTTGGCTTCTTGTAATCTTGCATATGTCGCAGGCAATTTGCCAGCCAGCGGTAAATAATTGTAGAAAAACATAAAATTCAAAAACAAAATAATAAGATGAGAGTGCTGATTATGTTGTTTATACTGTGAATAAGCACTTTTCCCACCGTAAAAACATAGTATAATTAGGCATTCTCAGAAGAGCGTGCAGTGTACTCCGTGACATTAGTTGGGTTGAGATCGGATAGGCAACTAAACTAACTTAGTGACAGAGCGTAGAGTATCACAAAAAATGAAGGCGCCCCAAGGCGAGCTGATGCTTTTGAAGACCATAATCCTTAAATTTTTATTACGTCGATGCGCATCATTGCGAGTTATTGAAACAACATGTGAACTGCTTGCAAATTGTCAGAGATTGCTGTCTGCCTGCGAAACATGTATTCCAATCTAACATATATTATCAGCCACTATGAAGTAGATCTGTTTTTTGTTTTGTTTTTTTTAAATGTGTCATATTTTTTCAACTCTTAGTAGCGTATATTAGAGCAGTCTGCTTAGCGCTTCCTATTGAAAACTAATTTTGTTTTCAATGCTTATCCAAATTTGACATTCATATTAATCACTTTTTTCCTAATTTCTATTACTTGTGCAGATATGCTGCCTCCGTCAGCGCCGAAATTGGAAATAAAGACCAACGACTCTGTTCTGGTCTCATGGCATATCCCTCTACAGGAGAAATTCCCGATCGATCATTTTTACGTGGAATTTTATCAGTACAAAAAGGGCGAGTTCCGCTCCAAATGCTGCACATTTGTGGATAATAAGCCAAAAAATAAATCGTCGAGCGAAGCTTATCACGAGGAGCTGATCGACTGTCTCGCGTCAAATTTTGATTACAAGTGGGTATAGCTATTTGGCCCAATGAAATTCTTGCAGAAATTTGGGGTTAATTTGAGAGGTTTGAAGGATTAGGCGCACAAGTGCAGTTCTTCTTTTTTAAAAAAAAGGCATTATGATGCTTTCAAGTTAAACTAGTTTTAATGCATATCCTGTGAAAAATTCGCTCCCAAATTCCAATTTTGAGGCATCAAAAAGTCAATTTGAAATTTCTTTCCGCCATAAGGATCCCTGTAATTTCGAAACTTCAAACACATATTTCTCTAATAGCGAAACACTCCATTTATGCACCTTAGCCTCCAAACCCCTCCATCATTTTTTAATCGTGACCCACTGCATCCTTTTTCAATTTGTTGCCCTTCGTCTCCCGATCTTGTCAGAAAGTTCAGTTATCGTCATGGCTGTTACGGTCGTGCGGTTTTTTGTGGGTCACTTACCATTGATCTACTGTGAGCAGGAAAAATGTCGCATAAAAACCTGGACGCCACCAAATATTTTAGGGTAAAATATGAATTTTCTGGGGGAAAATGTGCTTTTTCCAATTTTCATAGAACTTCACTTGTAAGTGTAGTTAATGTATTTTAAATAAGTAAGGGAAAATATCCATTAGTTTTTTTAAAATTAAATATTTTATAAGAGGGAATTTAGCTATAATGTTGTGACATATGACATTTTTCCTGCTCAGTATAGTAGTGGTGATACAAATCTCTATACATCTTGGTAGGGGGAATAAACGCTAGGATCACAACTAATTTAATTCCATTTAAACCTCCCGAACAGAAGAAAGATGAGACATTGAAGTATGTAGGCGTAAATTATCGATTATCGATATTCCTATCCCCATTTGAAGCTGTGGTAAAGAATCTATTATCAAGGTGTTTGTTGCGAATACCCTGTTTAACGATCCTTTTTCATTTGCATAAATGACGGATTAATCGACATACATCGCAATGTGGGCCACGTCGCTGGTATTCACTCATCTCTTGAGCTAATGTTTTATTGTTTTCCTTTGCTTTTCATCAATTTCAAACGTACCCAAACAATTCACCTGTGATTGTGGTTGATCTCTCTAGGCTTAAAAATCACACAATATATGGGAGGGAAGATATTATTCCAAGCAAACTTGTGAGTCCATTTAAATCCTGCAGCCAAGTTATATGTACTTTGATCCATTTTGTTCACCAGGTTCCGAGTTGCGGCCTCATACCCTACACATAATCACTCGTATGGTCAGTGGAGCAAGGAAATACATCTACCCGATGATTTTGAAGGGGAGGACGCTTTTGACACAGATGATTTGTGATGCATTTGTTGCCTACATTAATCGTAAATCTTTTTGTTGACCAAAAAATATTACATCTATTAATTTACCCGTGTTAAAGAAGTGTTTCATCATGCGTTTTAAAAAAGACCATGGTTTTACAGATTGTGTGTTTAATATTTAAACAAGTTGCGTGAAATTAAATCCATGAAGATTAAGGCAGTGCACTTTCAAAATTAATTGAAAAAGATATGGTAATTATGAAATTTCTTTTCATAACTTAATTTAATGTAACATTTTGAAACATGAATATTGAACAATTTTCTTAGAGATGCTAAATATTCTAAAATAATTCCACAGAAACAATCAAGGTGAATCGTAATAATTTTTTATTTTCTTAAATTATTGTAAGCATATTTTTTTCAAAAGTATCGAGCTCCTCATAAAAAAATAAAAAAATATTTTCGTTGATTGTACTTTCTTTACTTTATGCTCCTGCCCAGCCTCGCGAAATTATTACAGCAACCATAATACCTCAACCATAATATTCATGATAGCTTTTTGCGATAGTAGCTCTAACTGCCTTCGGACGTATGCACACCAATGTCTGCTCCATTACAATAACTTCAGGTGGGTATTTCTGACATTCATTGACAATTAAACCTTATTTTTTAGAAACAACGTCTTCTTATATTAATGAGGTACGCTTTATCGTGAGCGCATGAAAGGTCTCTGCGTCTGTAGCCGCAAGCATACGCAACATGGTCAACTTTAGAGCCCGAATAGTTGCATCCAGGCGTTGACATCATGGTAGAGCCGGTCCTTTGGTTGGACAAACCAAACCACAAAAATATTTCAGAAATTGATCTATTTTTATATTTGATTAATAGATCATGATATTTTCTCCTTGAATTTACCAACAATACACACATAATACCACTAATTATATGTATTTTCTCCTTATTTGTTTTTTCATTTGATAGTACTTTCCAATCCATTTCAAGGATTCACTTGGAGGGTAATGAGACTAGGCCGTCCAACTTCTGTTCCTATATGAATTAGCTAAAATGTGCTGGCTCAATGGGAATTCTAATACAAATGGATTGTATCGAATTAAATTTAAAAAATGATAAATCTTTTTCTAATGTCACGAAAAATAAAAAAATCTTTGCCAGTCAAATATAGGAATAAAACAAACAGGATGTAATAGGATGGATGGATTACCATAACCATCATTAGCCCGATTGAACGATAAAATGAAAAAAATACAATTTAACCTTTCTATCTCCGTCAGTCGCAGACTCATTTTAGAGTTTTGATATTTATCTTTAGCTGCTGTTCCAGTTAAAAACGGGAGTGCCATTAGCCTAAAATGTCTTGGTTGCATGTATTCCCCCCTCCCCTATTGTTAACCTATTTAAATCCATATTTTAGTGTGTTTCTTTCAATTTGATCAATCAAATCTATACCGGACTAAAACGTATATGTAGATCTCACAGGTTATGCAGTTTCTACCTCAACGGATGCTAAAAGGAGTAGAATTCTAGACTGCTTTTTTCTCGAAGTGTGATTATTGAGGAGCGATTTTTCGACTCTATGTGATTCGGAAAATATCGATTGGTCTTATCACATTCGTCGCAGGATGATTAATGCATGCGACGGAATGTGTTTCCAACTGAAGTCGCATTATTAGTAAGCATGTTGCACCGAAAAATTGTTTTGAGTGTAGGATCAATCTGGACAGTTGCATCATTAATTCACGTGCGTATCTCCTCAACCAATATAAATGTATTAATGAGCAGAGTGCTGGGTCCACACTTTTCTGAGGGAAACAAACCCTAAAAAAGTACTCAGATTAAATAAGGTTCCTGAGATCAAACTCGCCGTGCTAGACGATCTCTCCCCAGCTGTGTGCTTACCCATAGTTTTGAAAAAATTCACTTTAATTTTTAAAATTCTAATTTACAGTGTATTTTTTCTCAGCTTTTTTCATTCTCAGAATAGAGTGGACCCAGCAACATTTTTAACACCCGGAGTAATCATTTATAATAATACTCCTTTTCTTTATAATTTTTTTTTTTTAAAAAAGCACAATTAGTTGATAGATGGAGGGGTAGGTGGAAGTGGCGACGATGACTACGAAGATGAGGACAGACATAACTCTTTAAATTTGCTTTTAAATGTAAACAGAAACACCAAGTCTACGAGAAAATTGCAATGCAGGTCCGCAGACAAAAGTCACCATCGGCGAGGCGACTCCAAAAATCGTAAGTAAACACGTGTATTTTCGCGGATTATAACCTATTAAATTTAAGAATCTGAAAGTGGTATTGTTTTTGCACTTCCAGCATGTATACAGAAAGGAGACTGTTATGGTTGAATGGCCAGATTTGTCGGGTTGTCCCGAATTGAAAGTTTTAATTTGATCCACCCACTCCCTATAGGTTAATTTGTAAAACTCTTCCACAGTGAAGCTTAACTAACTTACATTTTATCATAGAGAAAAAAAAGGAGGTGTTTGCATTTCGGGCATCTTTGAATTTTTTTGATGACGTAGGTCGCTACAGCGACTTTTATCATCGATTTTCTTGGAAATGGTGTGATTTATGGTAAAAAGTCATTCTTTAAAAAGTGCTTGAAATTATATTATGAGTTGATTTAAGTAAAAAAAATTGGACTTTATGGTCCGTTTTTCATATTTCGAATTCCAGATTTCGCTGGCCAGGTTGTACCGACCCACGTCACAGGGTAAACAAACCTCAAGATGCAAACACCTCCTTTTTTTTTCTCTATGAAATTTTATTGCCTCAAATTAGGTCCTGAAATATTTCTGCTGAAAAAATTGAAAAAAGCTTATTTTTAAAGACCCAAGCATAGTGGAATGGATAATTCAACGTGATTTTATTTATTTATATTTTTTAATTTTTTTCTTCATTCCAGAGCTGATGAATTTGCTGGGTGACCCAGAAAAGTTGACGAACGACAAGAAAAAGAGAGAAGATGAAAGCCATACCGAGATGTGCTATCGGAATGAGAAGGAAGAGGAGAATCTTGAATTTGACGAAAATCCTCCGACACGAGATCCAAGTGAGGAGAAATTGCACATATTATTATGATGATAAAAACTGAGGAGAAAAAGTCCGTATCTTTTCGGATTATGCCATAAACGATTCGACTCACTTCTTCGACAGCTACTGTTGACGAAGTCGCACCTCCATTAGCGAAATTGCTTTCCTTTCTTGTTTTTCTCTTTTCTTTTTTCTTCCTTTGTTTTATTTTTAAGGAAACTAAACCAACGGATTTTTTAACAAAAATTCGGTGAACTGTTTCATGTCACTGAATAATTTTTACCAAAGTTTCAAGGAAAGACTAGTTTTAGATTTCTTTGAAAAAAAAAAAATCAAAGAAATTGTAGCTTTGCGAAGTTGAAAATTCATTTAAAACCCCAAAATACACAATCTCATATTAGACCATTTGAATAGCTTGATCATAAACTTACATTCTATTTTCGTGACGAAATGTTAAATGAATTCTCCTTATAGATTTGCTGCCTCCGTCTGTACCAGAAATGGAGATCAAGGGCAATAATTCCATTCTGGTCTCATGGCGTGCTGTGGTGCGAGAAAAATATCCGATCGATTACTTCTTCGTAGAATATTACCAATACAACCGCTGTGAGTTTTGCTCTAAATGTTGCACGTGGGTCAACAATGAGCCTAAGAATAAATCATCGAATGAATCTTATCACGAGGAGCTGATCAATATTCTCGAGCCAAATTTCGATTATAAGTAAGTAAAAAAATAAAATAATTATTTCAATTTTTTTTTTGTACTTATATAATTCTAATAAGAGGCATTGTAATGTTGAGTTGTCTAATTTCAATCCTCGAGCTCTATAGAGTAGTTCAGTGGTGACTAATGCTAGTTCGGCTGGTGTGCTTATGTTCATTTTCAGTTCATTGATTATTAAATGGATATAGACGCTCTATGCATCATATAGGTGCAAGTTTTCTGAGGATGACTGCAAAGCCGAAGTTTGATGTAAACTATTCGGAATAGAAAAAAGAGAACATACGTTCAAAACTCCTGAAATATTGCATTGGAGCATTTGGACTCGTCTATGCTGAAAGAAACCATGTGAATATGATGCAAAGATTTACGTGTCTTACAATTCCTTTTCATTTAATTTGTTCCTATTTTTAGTAAGAATTACCGCTGCATTTCTTGCTTGCAGTGATAACGTCGATGCAGATATCTCATAAAGTCCTTAATTCAGGCCGTATGATTTTTGGTGGGCCTCAATTGATTGATAAGGATAGTCACAAACCAAAAAATCGAATGAAGAGACTTGATCATTTATTTATACCGTATTATAGTGAAAAACCACCCCCATTTAAGCAAAATTGACAGACTTTATGGCTGTTTCGGAATACCCGCATTGAAACTTCATAGTCCCAGTGCAAACTTCTTCTAGGTTCCCAAATGCTTATGTTTAGTATATAAAAGTATAATGAATAAACAATATTACCATAAGTTGAAGTTGCGCAGGACAAAATCAAATAAGACGGTAGGAAATTGGTAACATCGCTAACGGCAGATCTAGGTATGGTTAAGTATTATTTTCTGTGGATTATGGGTTTTCACGATACACTTCTGATCAACTTTCTCAGGACAATATAGATCTCACTCTACATTTTGACATTTCTAGGTTTAGAATCTACATAATATATTGGAACGAAGAGATTATTCCGGGCGAATTTTGCGAGCCTATAAAACTTGTGTGGCCTATTTAAATTTGGATACATTTTGTCAATCAGATTCCGAGTTGCAGCCTCTACCCCACACATACTACTCTCAAGGCAAGTGGGGTGCCACAATTTTTCCATCCAGTGCTTTAAAAGGAACAGTTATCGTTGAATATTATTGAATTTTTAAAATGCATAAGATACTTTGAATATTTGAGTCCAACAAAGCTACGTACTACAATATAGCAATACTACTAATTTAAGGATTTAGCTTTGCCTATGCGGTGCACTTCTTTGTTGTTAAATGCGTAGTAAAAAAGACTTTGATTTTGTTATTGGTGTTTGTGTTTTTTATGCAAGTTGTGAATAATAAAATTCATTAGATTTAGAGTAGCTTTTTCGTTTTTAACGCCACATTTAGAATGCATCGAGTTTACAAACGGACATCTTTAAAGATTTTTCAAGGATGCAGAACCCTGCAGGTCGAATCATGAATAATCAGGCAGTATTGTAAAGCTCGGCGTGATACTCGTTTTGTGATACAAAATTCTCTCTTCAATATATTATTCGCGCAATGAAGAGCTGAGGAAAGAGGCATAAAGAAAGACAAACCATCATGATAACTTGTTATCAAACATTAAAAGCGATTATTAACGAGATGAATGAGTATAGCTTTCAATATTTTTCTAGTCAGGCTGCATGATGAGCTTGTTTACAAAATGTCGAACTGTGCGGCCCGAAGTGAGGTGGCCACTCATTTTAATTCTCCTTAAATACACCGTGAGTATATTCTTATCCAGATCTCGTAGAATGGTTAAAAAAGGGGAGACAAAAAGTCTCTTGAGTCAATTTTTAAGTGAGGGGGGGGGGCTTGCCCACGCAGAAAAAGGGACCCAACTTTGATTTCACCTATGGTGAGGAGTAAAGGGGCACGGAATACTTCCCTGCACGTGGAGGGGTGTGGGGGATGGGCATGGGCTCCCGAAATGTTTGGTTGTTGACTCAATTTAGATGCAATGAGGCGGCTGTGACGCAAATCTTCTGAGCTGGATTTTTGCTCGGGTTTTCCCATGAAGCTTGAAAATTAAATAACGAGAGAAAAATTATATTTTACACGGGCAATCCTCTTGCATTTCTTACTGTATATTTTTGAAAAAAAAAAAAAAAAAAAAAAAAAAAAAAAAAAAAAAAAAAGAAAAAAAATAAACATGTTATTTTTTTTTTTTT